TCAAATAAACAGCTCAACCTGCTAACTCTCAACCTGAACACAACCCTTACAAGGACAGTTTAAGCTGAAGATAAAATCTAGCAGAAAAACACGACCCTCCACACCTTGAAATTATCTGCATTGGATGAGACAATATAAGAAGCAGATAAAAAGGGCCTTGTGTGGAGAACCAAATACTTCTTCTACAAGGAAAAAAAAGGGTAAGGTAACTCTGGCACTTTGCTATGCTAAGCAACAGAACCCCACACAAAATACTGTTTTCAGAGATCAACCCAGAGCTGAGTCAAACAGCAGTCTGATAGGAATAACTCAGTTGCTGTACCTTATAATCTTTCAAGAAAAGCGTCAACTGATTGACCTTGTTGGTTTGTAGTTGGTGACAAAGTTGCAGTAGGAAATATGACCTCTGCTGCCATACTTGACTCATCTGTTTCAATCAAAAAAAAAAAAAAAAAAGTTCCCAAATCATTACAATATTATTTATTTAGGAAACGCAAAGCAGTATAGTACAATTTCAGAGGAATTGTATACCTGGAATGGCACTTCTCAACCGATCTTGTGTACACATTAAAGCCTAACAGTTTCCGGGAGCAAGCTACGACGGTTGTCATCAATGATCAGCCATGCTAAGCTAAACGCCGATTCAAATGCAACAGTATATGCTGGAACACTTAGGATGTCTCGTGCCATTAGAGAAATGGTTGGATATTTTGGACCATGCAACTTCCACCATGCAATGATGTCAAATACATCATTATCAATTTCAGGATGAGCAGGATCATCAAGGTACAATTCCAGTTCTGACCTCTTGTGTTGACTTTGAGTAACTCTCATAGATAAACCTTGATATACCTAGCGTGGTAGCAGATAAGCCCATTGACGACTCCAATGGATAGTGGGCATGAATACCCGGCAACAGGTCTAGCAATTATAACTTTGTTAACTTTGCTGGAAGGGATGGTCATGGACAAGATAACAACAGTCGCACTAAGTGCATATTGGAGATGCTACAGTAAATGAAACCTTGCCATCACCAATTGCATCCCGGCTTGACGTGGAGGATTCAAGAGGGGCTTACAATAGTGATTAGCTCACTTGGCCAATTTCATTCTTTCAATAAAACTTGGTGTGATCCGAGTGGAAATATTCTACACGGAGGGATACAGACATCTTAAGGGAAGAGTAGTCTAATTGCAGTTGACTTGTCCTTCCCTAGGTTCAACGCCAGCAATAGGTCTACAGAATACATGAAGTTGAACTCAATGCTGGCACAGTCACCACCAGCTATGATACACTGCCAGCCATTAGGTCTACAGAATACACTGCCGCTAGTCAAGAACTCAAGATTAATTACCAGCAATGCTAGGCCCAAGTGCAACATGGATGGCATTTTAGCATCTTGTTAAGAATGAAATATAGAAAATACAATAATGAAATAATATACCATCTCACAAATCGCAATCACTTCACATGTGCATCACTGTGACCATGGCATGCTGTTTGGAACATTGGGCAGATTGGTAAATCATTTCATCCATCAACTTAAGTTGCAAGGATCCCTGGGTGAAAAAGGCACCCAACAGGAGATTTAAAGTGCGTTGAAAGCAAAATGTTAACTAAGTAATAAATTTCCTTGAGAGTAGTATACAAGTAAATGGTTACAAAGGTCTTAAAAATATTTGAAAAATTGGCACATCAAAGAGGGTTAATACCAGCCAATGATAACAGTTGAAGTAACACAAGCTTAACAAATTATATTTAACAACACTTCGATCATACAAAGCTACACTAAGCATTGATGCCAACCACACCATTCTAAATTTTCAAATGGTATGGTGGACTGCAAATCACTGAGATATACGATAGAATATCATGCACTTAGAAACAACTACAAGATCAAGATAGAAATGCAGAAAATTTCAAGTGATTCTTACACTTAAGTGCGTATATGAATTCTGCAGAGACAAGATCCATGGGAAAATATTTCAGCCTGTACCATTGAAGAAAACATTACAGCACAAATTTCTTGCAAGTTACAGTACATAAATGTTTGGGAGAAAACTAAATGATGCCTATGGGATATGGAATCAAAAGCGGTTGGCTTGTTACTAGTACTACCTAACCAAAAGTCACAGCCCCTCAGGCCTCAGCCGTGATGAATAAGCACGTTAAGCATTCTGTCGAACAGCTTGTGTGCGAACCTATGAAGGTACGGATTCTAGAAATGCTCTCACCTTGATGTGGTCCCATGGAGACTTTCTAGGTGCGGAGACGGATAGCAGAGGAGATGGATCGGAGAGGCTTCACCTCACCGCCGCATCCTTCATACCGTCCTCGTCGGGCTAGCCGCACCGCCGCCCCGCCGGCTCCATTGTCCTGCCCTCGTCGGGCTGCCAACAGAGCAACGACCCCGCCCTCGTTGCGCTGGTTGCGGCTCCGCGGTTGGGGGCGATTTGGGGACGGTTTGGGGACGGGGGCCGGAGGCGGAGGCTAGATTTTTTTTGCTTCCTGGACTGCGCGGGAACGGAGGAAGGGGACGAGGGCGATGGACGAAAAGGGCGGCAGGAGTCGGACGAAAACCACCGCGTATATATACAACTAATTTGGAGTTTACTAGCGTGAGTGCGTGACGGAGATGAATGCGGGAATTTGAGATTTCGCAAAACAACGCCGGAATTTGGAGTTTGTAATATGGCCACCGATGGACTTGCAATATCTTTTTGAATCAATGAACTTACGATATTGGTCATCAAATTATCATTGTTTTATTTTGACGTGGTTAGATGAGTTACTGGCATTTTTGTGCCTAAGCATTTCAAGAAAAGTACCGCAGAGTAACTCATAGCCTCAAAATAGGATCCCTACTTGATATTTGAGGTCTTTATTTTCTGAGCTACACTCTAGCAGAAGCCCTCAAAACAGGGCTTTACTCTCAATTTCCTCTATTTTCTCGTACATTATATGCAGATGTATTTGAGATCATCACATTATATAACAATTTATTTAAACTATAACAATATAAAGCACTATACATAAAACTATAAATGAAAATCTTAGTATTCAAATTTAAAATCAAACAAAATTTTGGTCCAAAATTAATGATAGTCGATCACAACATAGTTCATAACATTTCTGCAAATCAAATGACTTAATCATGAAACATAAAGTCAGACAAAAGAAATAACTTGCACCATGTCACGCCCACGGATGCTCTATGTACAAGAAACAAAATGCTGTAAATTTTGCTTCATTTGGTATTCACTAGAGTACACATGCATGGATTTCAAGATGGTGTGCGAGTTTGGAGGGAAAAATTCAAGTGTTTCACTGCTAAAAAACGATTTGTAGCAACGTCCCTTTTTTTAGGGGAGGCTCTATATTGAGCCACCACTACAAATGGTGCCCAAATGAGCCACCCCTACAAATCCATTTGTAGGGGCTGCTGGTGTTATCAGTCGTCCCAACAAATGACCTGATTTGTAGGGACGACTCAATATTGAGCCACCGACGCCGAATAGTTAAAATTAAACACTAAAATTTGAATTTTTTCAAACCACCTTGGATGGAGAAATGACCCAAATAAAAATTATAGATCTCGAAAAGTTATGGAACTTTGTTGTTTATAACTTTTTTATTTGAAATCATTTACTGCTTTAAAATATTGTTTGAAATTTAATTTTGAAATTATTGAAGAACTCTAATTTCTCTTTTTAATCTCTGGCTAAAACTTGTAACTAGTCTTTCTCTCGCATACTAACTTGAAATTTGATGATTTTTTTTTCTAAAATTTTCTAAAGTCATGCTCTATCAATTTATTGTATTCTTAGAGCTATTATTTTATCTATCTTTTCATGTAACTGTGTTTTATCTATTTGAATTTTGAATTTCAAAAAATGACAACTTCAAACGTCATTTTGAAACATTAAATGATTTCAGCTGCAAAAGTCGTGAACATAAAAGTTATAAGTTCATTCTAGGTGGGCATTTCAACATGGTGTCCAGTACACTCACATTACTCATCAAATATCACATTGGGTGAGATTGAGAGTGCTGCATAGTTGATTTGCATCTTGTGGCACTAGTTGAGAGTGATGGCTTTGTTTTTTTCTTGTTACTCTTTGGCATGATTGTTGTCATCTAGCCGCCTTGGAGTTGATTGAGATTGTCGAGCACTACATGGTGATTGTGCCAGGGCTCCGATCAAGGTTGTGAGATACTAATGATCTTTTATCTTTGTTATTTGCTTGTGCTTTTACATCCTGGTTATTTTCTTCTACGGTTGTAGTTGGTAGAAATAGCTAGTTTAGTTGCTTCACTATAGCTAGACTAGAGTAATATGTTAGCCTCTTTGTTTGATTGAGTGCTCTAGTAGTTGTTCAAGGCTTGCTAGTAGACTTGTGTAGGAGGCATGCATTGGGTGAATTAGGCTAGGCAAAGTAATAGCTATTAGGTTCTCATTTTGTACTAACTACTTTACTATAGTGTTGTGCAATTTGTAAAGAAATTTTCATATGCTATTCACCAAAACCAAAAAAATACGTATAAGAATACTAAACAAATTGGATAAAAAATTAAATTGAGATAACATGTTGCTTTATTTCATAAGCACATGATTATAGTCAATTCCCATTAATTTTCTAAGATTGAAGGTGATTAGTAGTCAACTTTATGTTTTTTATATGACAATGTAATAAAATCTTAATTTGGTATGTTTGATTAAGAAAACTATTTAAATTTAATTATTTGGCACAAAAAATATATTTTTAAAAAAATTTAAATATATATCTACAGATTTATTTGAACTATACTTTGTATTTGGAAGCACAGCCGCCAAACACAAAGGCCAAAACGCCGAAACCCAACTGCGCGCGCATTTTCAGTGAAAAAATCCCGCCATCGGCTAGTACCACCCAAAAGCCAAAACCTATCCCAGCGGTCCGATCCCAGCCCTGCCAATCGGATGCCCTCCACGCCCACGTCCAGAGGCCACCCCGTCGACCCTATCCTGCGGCGCCGTCAACGTAGAAACTTCCACCTCGCCACATCCATTTCCTCTTCTTCCTCTTCCTCCGCGCCCGCTCCACGCGCCGACGCCACACACCGCCGGCTCGCAGGCTGCGCATCCTCTTCCTTTCGCCCTGTCGCGATTTGTGCCACACATGGTCACCGGCATCGTTCTCCTCGCCCTTGCCCTTTGACCCGTCCAGATAGGAAAGGGGAAGAAAGGCCATTGTACCCTGCCATCGTACCACCGCACCGGCCAGACGGCCACCGCTGTTCACCCAGCAGCGGCAGCCGGCCCCGGCTGCCCGTGTAGGCCAAACCAGGCAGCCCCCAGCCAGCTGCAGTAGCGACGCCGCCGGCACCGTGTAACAGAGCTTCACTCTGCACAGGCAAACGCCAAACAGGCAGCAACGTTGCAGGCAAGCATTTTATTTTAATTTCAGTAATTCAGTTCCTCAGACACTCTGCCGTTGGGGAAGAGATCATTGTTGGCCTGACCATCAAACCAGCTTGGTCAGCGTGGTAGTCATAGGATAGCAGCTAATTAGTTTTTTTTTTTTTTTTTTTGTTATCTCTCCATTATTTGATTGCCTGATGGATGCTGCCTTTGCAGAATAAAACAGTGCTGGTATAATGGTTTCTTAACGTACCAGTGATAGGATAGCAGTTAATTACCTTTCTTTTATTTATCTCTCCATTATTCCTTGCCTGATGCATGCCTTTGGGGAATAGAACAATGTTGGTATAATGGTTTGGTTCCGTCAGTTTGGTCAGTGCTTATGCCAGCGATGGTTATGTTACCATATGAATGTTCGTCTAAATTGTCAGTTTGGTCAGTGCTTATACCAGGTGGTCGCCGTTGCCGCCGCCTACCAGGAGGTCGCCGTCTACTCCGTCCAAGAGGTTGCCGTCTCCTCCCAGGTACCCGATGGACCCTGGTAGGCGAGAGTAGACGGCAAAGAGATGGACCCGAGAAGCAAAAAGATGACCAACCCAGGTACCTGTCGATATGCAGTTTATGTGCTGGTTGGAGAATTTCCGTCAATTAATTGGTTGGTCAATTAATTAATTAATTAAACTCTGTTTAAAAAAATTCAATTATGCCATAAATGGTGAGCTATTTAAACAAGCATACAAATCTTCAGTAATTGTTGATGTAGCTTCAGTTAATTCATATCTGATCTGCAGCAATGTAGATTGAATCAGAGTATATCTACTAACTGGAAGTTTGTATACATCCTGTATGTATGTTTACTGGAGATTACAGTATTGACTGAATGTTTTTCTAATTTCAGCAAATACCTGTACTACATACTTGATAGAAACTAGCAAGCAACACTTGCATGAAGAAGAGAAGGCATTCTCAGGCTAACTGTAGACTGTTACTGTGACATTGGTTCAGTTCAGAACTTCCATTTTCCTGATTCAGCCATACCTGATTCTATGATGCCTACTTTGCAAATGATTCTACTCATGCAGTCATTTGGAATATTATGTGATGCCTAGTCTGTGATCCATTATATATTACTGATGCATGTCATTTGGACTTTTTCCATTGAGCAGGAAGATGAACCTTGAGGGACTCTTGTCAAGATGAACTGAATCAAAGATTCTGCAATGACAAAGATCCAATGCTGGTTTGTGCTAAGTGTCATCTATATTTGTTTAATTCTATAAGTAGTGGTCTATTTTGCAGTTCCAACTTTGTAATTACTTTTTTGAAATAGGAAGCCCTTTGACTTCATTATATTGTACAGACTACTTCCTCCGTCCCATAATTCTTTGACGTTCTATAACTCAAAACTTGTCCCAGAATGCTTGAGGCCTTGTTTAGTTGGGGAAAGTTTGGAAATTTGACTACCGTAGCATTTTCGTTTTTATTTGGCAATTAATGTTCAATCATGGACTAATTATGCTCAAAACGTTCGTCTCGCAATTTCCAACTAAACTGTGCAATTAGTTTTTTTCGTCTACATTTAATGATCAACTATATATATTACTAATGCATGTCATTTTGACTTTTTCAGGAAGATCAACCTTGAGGGAGTCTTGGCAAGCTGAAATGAATCAAATATTGTGCAACGAGAAAGATGTCTTGTTGATCTGTGCTAAGAGACATGTATTTTTTGTTTATGATTGCCTATTTGTAGCATAAGTTAGTGGTTTGTAATGCAGTTCAACTTTGCAATTACCTATTTGGAAATAGGAAGGCATTTGACTTTCTTACATCGTACAAACTATTGAATGTTTATGATCCAAGTTATTAATATGATTGCCTTTTTGTGTCATTGAATTTTGTAATTTTATGAATTTCTGTGCAATGAATTTGATGTAATAATTGGTTGCCCTTCAAATCTCATGTCAATGCAATAGTTTGTATTGCATCCAAGCTCATGTCGATGTGATAGTTTGTATTGCATCTAACCTCATGTCGATGCAATAGTTCGAATTGCATCGAACATAATGTCGATGCAATTAGTTCCTATTGCATCGAACCAAAATGATGATGCAATAGAACCTCTTGCATCGAATCAAAATGGTGATGCAATAGATTATATAGCATCGAACCTAATATGGATGCAATATAGTCTATTGCATCGAACGATAGCCGTTGCAATAGATGTATTGCATCAACATGATTTGGATGCAATAAGCTATTGCATCTCTCAATTTTGATGCAAGAGACAACGGATGGACGATGCAATAGCTGCTTCTCGCATCAACCACAAGTAACCGATGCGAAAGGCTATTGCATCAAGACCACTTGCATCGGCTGGCATCAAACGAGAAATTGATGCGAAACCGAACTATTGCATCTATTTTAGACCTATAACATCAAAAATTGACCGGTGCAATAGGGTCAAAATTTAGTAGTGATGATTTGCGTCACTTGTATTGGTGGCCAAAAATGAAGTTGGATATAACCAAAAACATATCAGAATGTGACATTTTTGGAAGGGTTAAGGTGGACCAAATGCGTACGCCTAGATTTCCATAGCCCTTGCCTATCTCTGTTTGGAAATGGGAGAATATCTCCATGGATATTGTTGTGGGTTTGCCCCACACAGCAAAAGGGTATGATTCTATTTGGGTCATTGTGGATTACTTTACCAAGTCTGCTCTTTTCCTCCCGGTGGATACAAGGTATTTTGCCAAGAAGTATGTCAAGTTGTACTTTGATCGGGTTGTGACCCTACATGGAGTTCCTCTTACCATTGTTTCTGATAGAGGGTCAGTCTTTGTCTCTCACTTTTAGGAGCAACTCCAGAAATGTCTTGGTACTCATCTCCTCAGAAGTTCAGCTTATCATCCGCAAACTAATGGTCAAACAGAAAGGGTCAATCAAGTACTTGAAGACATGTTGAGAGCTTGTGTCATTTTTTTCCAGAAAAGTGGGATGAATGCTTGACTTTAGCTGAGTTTTCTTATGACAATAGCTATCAAGAGAGCATTCGTATGGCACCTTTCGAGGCGCTGTATGGAAAGAAATGTAGAACACCTCTCAATTGGGTGGAAGTAGGTGACTGTGGTTACTTTGGGCCTGATTTTATTAAAGAAGCGAGAGAGCAAGTCAGTGTTATTCAGAGTCATTTAAAAGCAGCCTAGAACCGTAAAAAAGCTTATGCGGACAAGATGAGAAGACCTTTGCAGTTTGAAGTTGGTGACCATGTGTACCTAAAGGTATCCCCAATGAGTGGTGTGCATTGGTTTGGAGTCCATGGAAAGTTAGCTCCTCGTTATGTTGGACCTTATAAAATTTTGGAGCGATGTGGTTCTGTTGCTTATTGTCTCCAACTCCCGGATATTTTATCAGCAGTCCATAATGTCTTCCATGTTTCCTAGTTAAAGAAGTGTCTACGGGTTCTTGATGAAGTTGTAGAAATGGAAGGACTCCCTCTCCAACCTGATCTTTCTTATATTGAGCATCCCGTCAAAATCTTGGATGAAAAAGAGAGAGTCACTGGGAACAAAGTGGTAAAATTTTATAAAGTCCAGTGGCAAAATCATTCGGAGGACGAAACAACTTGGGAGCATGAGAGTTATATTCTAGAGCATTGTCCCCATCTTCTCCCCGAAGTATCGAGGTAATGGGTTAAGTAAAAGTTTATTTCTTATCCCTTTTCCCACACTAGTCACTCACATGAAATCTCAGGACGAGATTTTGTTTAAGGGGGGAGAGTTGTAACACCCTCGGTGTTACGTGCTAAACAAAGTACTAAACCATGTCTTGAGCTTCATGTTTATTTGATAATGCATGTGACGGAATGTGTAGATAACATTTTTGTAACTTTAGATAATCAATAAAAATGTTAAATGATAAGTTATTCCATAACTCATATGCATCAAGTAGGGCTTAAAACAAATTTTTATTGAACAAAAATGCTATAGAACATATATGTGGCGCTTAAATAAAGTTTGGAATATGAACTTTGTAGATGACAATGAAATACTTGCCGTGGAAAAATAACATTGCTAGCCAACATTTCTAATAGCCTAGAAATACAACTTGGAATCAAGTTCAGCTCAATGACTTAGAATATTTTCAAGTTTATAAACAGCAAGACAATGCAATGTTTGGCGATTTATTTTGTGAAATCGAGTTAGGAGGTGGTGTCGTGTTTTAGCTCGGGTTGGTAGCCTCATAAGCAATCTTGAGCATGGTAAAGATGGTTTAGGTCCAGAAGCAACTATTTAGTTGTTATAGGCGCTTTAAAATGCATGCACGACATGTTCTCGGGCTGTCTCGCCGGGTGAACGCGGTCACCAAGCTTGGGTGCTCGGTGTCACTACGCTGGTCACACGTGCGTGTGCTGCCGCACGTGGTCGGCCATGGCTGCCTCTGGCCTGGCTATGGCCTGACCACCACATGGAGCCGCTGCTGCTGCCACCTGCCCTGCCCCGCACCATGATGAAGCCACTGCCGGCGCCATCACCTCATCATCGCGTCCGCGCACTGCTGCCATGCCTCGCGTTGCCACTACCGATGCCATCGCGACGCCGTGCTATGCTTCTGTCGCTCGCTCTGCCACCGCGTGCATGTCGGCTGTCCTGGATGAGCTCACGCCGTCGCCTCGCCTTAATGGCACTGCGGCCGCATAGGTCGTGCCCCCCACTTGCCTCCCCATGCGTGCATGTGGTCTAGTCACGTGTCGCGTAGCGGGTGCGCAGGCACGATCGCGAGTCTGGCCGACCGCTAGCCACCAAGGTGAGGACGGCCAAATCTCGG